TTCTCATCCAGCTCCTTGCTTGTAGCCTGGGAAAGCAGTGGAGGACAGTCCAAAGCCTTGGGACCCTGCACCCATGTGGGAGACCCAGAAGAAACTCCTGGCTCCTGGTTTTGGATTAGCTCAGCTCCGGCCATTGTAGCTACACGAGGATGATCTTCCAACAGAAGATCTGTCTCTCCTTCTCTCTATAAATCTGATTGTACAATGAAAATAAATAAACCTTTAAAAATGAATGAACGAATCTTTCCACATTCAAAAGAAAAAAAAAAAAGCTTTCTTAGTGGAACCTGAAGGTGCCTCCCAGCCTTTAAGAAACTGAGTAAAAATAAAACTGTATCACAGAACATAGAACAAGTCCTTCATGATGCTTGTGATTTATGACCCACTTTCTTAATAAGGCCATGTTTACTATAGTTCTTGTGGCCCCCCCTGTCACATTTCAAGAGGATTGATAATCAGATACTAGTAGCTCAATTGGTGGAGAGAGCATATTTGAGGAAATGTTCCTACTTCAGAAAAATTCTAATGAAGCAGAGACACCAAGGCTCACTGTAGCTCTGCTTATATAGCTGTTCAAGACCTCGTTGGCCTGTGGGACGGCCGAGAATGAATAAAGGTGTAGGCATATGGCACAGTGGTTAAGACATTTAGGACATTCATATCCCATCAAAGCACCTGTCCTGAAAGCCTGACTTGGTCCTGATTCCAGTTTCCTGCTTAGGTGCGCCTTGGGCAGTGCCAGTGAAGGACTGAGTAGTTGGGTTCCTGTCAATCATGTAAGAGACTTGACTCGAGTTCCATGTTCCTGCCTTCTGCTTGGCCCACCTCCACCTGTTGCAGGCTTTTGAGCAGTGACCCAGAGGATCAATCTTTTTCTCCCTTTCTCTGTGCCTTTCAAATAAATGACTTTTAGAAAAAGCCAAGAATATGAAGGTGCATTTGTGGTCATTTTCATAGAATCGTGCTCTAGTGTGTCTAGTTTCAGTATTAGGAACGAAAGTCAAAGATGGTAGCCACAAGACTTCATGAAGTAGCAGATGTTTTTAATCTCCTAATGGAGATTAAATAATAAAATGAATTAAATAATAGAATTCAGATTAAATAATCTGAATGGACCACCCATGCCATTTTTAAACATTTCTTTGAAAGCCAAAGTTACCAAGAGAGAAAAAGAAGAAGAGACATAGAGGGAGTGATCTTCCAAGTCCTGATTCACTCCCCAGATGGCCACAATGACCACGGCTGGGCCAGGCCAGGCCTCGGAGCCACATCTCCCACATGGTAGCCATCCTCTGCTGCTTTCCCAGGCACTTCAGCAGGCAGCAGGATCCGAAGCAGGATAGCCAGCACATGAACTGGTGCCCACATGGGATGCTGGAGCCACAGATGGCATCTTCTACTGAAAAACACGTCATCTGAGGGCAGCTCTATCCCACTTATCTTGCTATTACTCTCTACCAAATAAATGCTTATTTTGAATGAATGAATAAGGAGATAAAGGAAGGAAGCAATGAATAAAAAAATGAGATAGCATCTTGAACTAATGGAGGTTCACTGCAGATTAGCAACAAATTAGCATCTTGACATGATTTCAGTCCTGACATCAGATGATGAGATAAGGCTTCAGAATTGCTTTCTGCACAGTCCACCCTCATCAAATTACATATCTAGAGGATATAGCTCCAGCAGAAGAAAGAGGAAGAGAAATGAAACTGAACTCTTCCATAGCATATAATTTATAAGGACCTTCCTCATTTATCATTTCATTTAAGAATAAGAATAGGGGATAATGTTGTGGTGCAGCACATTAAGCCACTGTTCCAACACTGGCGTCCCATAGAGGCACCAGTTAGAGTCTTGGCTGCTGCACTTCCGGTCCAGCTCCCTGTTAATGTGCCTGGGAAAGCAGTGGAAGAAGATCCAAATACATGAGCCCTGCCCAACACGTGGAGGATGCCTATGAAGTTCCTTATTCCTGGTTTGGGTCTGGACAAACTCAGACCATTGTAGCCATTTGGGGAGTTCATCAGCAAACAGCAAAAATGGAAGATCTCTCCCTCTCTCTCATCTCTCTTTCTCTGTGACTGCTTTTCATGTAAAAATAAATAAATCTTTAAAAAAGAAGAGAATAATAATAATAAAAACACAAAGCAGAAGTGACCTCCCACCGGTCATGGATCAGTTCAAGTAATTGTTACATTTTGTTAGTTTTCCTGTTCTGTTTCAAAGACATAGCATCACATGGTTCCTTTCTCCAGGACTCTCTCTGGGTGGAACTGCAGGTAGGTGCAGAAGAGGCCCACTTGCACAGCAAGGGTCCTGAGGAGATAGGCTGTCCTGTGAGGGATCTGCTGTAAGTGACAGGAGAGTCTGGGTCATTAGAGACTTTACTCAAGGCAGCTCTGTTGATTACCCACAACATGGGAGTGGGGCAGAGTGGAGGAACCCAAGAAAACAGGGGGGCTTCTAGTCTCTCCAGGACCACTGCTTTCCTCATCCCCACAAACCCCTACTAGATGCTGGCAGGCAGCTAAACAGATGAGGCAAAGATCACTCCTATTTCCCATCCATTTCCCTGCCTCTGCCCGGGATTGATGAACAGAGAAAGAAGCCCAAGACAAACAAACAAACAAAACTCATCAAGACTATATCAGAATTCACCAAAATCAGGCATGTACTTAAAAAGGTTAAAGAAAATGGAATAAAAGTTACGTTTATTTTCGTGTCAAAATATGATGAAATTCATGCGTACACAAGATCTTCAATAAGCTCACCAATATAAACTTAACTTTTAACTTCATTTTTCCACAAACATTCTGCACTGTCCACAAATGGCCTTAAATAACACCTTTAAAGTGCAAGCTGATTCTGGCTGGAGGAAAAAAGAAAACTTGCCACAATCAGAAAGTCTTAGAATGTTCTTCCTGCGCTGTGCCCTCCTCCTAACTACACACACCCACAGATGAACTCTGTGAGCTCCCATAGGCGCATGCGCACAGCCTTGCGCCACTGCTGTCCTGCATCCTGCACCTGTTCCCTGTGATGCAGCAAAATGCTCCACGTTCCACAGTCTCCAGGGACCAGCAGTTAAGAAGCGGGGTTGGCATTCCTGTAACGTGAACCAGCCATGCTGGTTCAAAGGCACCTACACAGCTGGAGTAAAAGGAACAATTTGGGGCTCATCTCCCCACCCCTTGTCAGAAATGCTTTCCATGGGAAAGAAGGAGGTGGAGCAAAAGAAATAGGCAGAAAGACAAGGAAGTCCTTCTTTGCAGAATGGTCTCCATGTCGTATTAAAAACATTAAAAAATAAAAGCTTACTCAATTCATTTAAATATCAAACCAAGAGAGAACTCATAAAGGCTGCTCTAATACTAGCTAATCCACCATACAGGAAAGCAGAAAAATTATCCCAAATGGAATTATTATTCTAAGACAGAAAACAACCACACAATTATTTCCTGTCAAGAAACACGATACTGTATGTCTAAAAATGGGATAAACAACTGTTACCCTAATATAACCAGGAAAGTTTAAACATAAATCTTCGGGGTAAAAGGCACAACTGTGCTTACCTTATAAAGCTAGATTCAGCTGAGAAAAAAAGCAGGATTTATTTTCATTTCCTTTATTTTCAAAGGCTGTGTCTAAGAAATCGTTTGAATTTTCCATGTATTTTAAATTGCATTCTATGTGGGTACATTATGTTCTAGAATTTATTTGATGAAAATGACATGATTCATTCATGAATAAGAAATACATTATTCATTTATGGAAGTGGATGTGTAAGTTTTGAAAGTATCAGATAAAACCAAAACAGAAAATTTTCACCTAACACAAACCACCCTCCCACTCCAGTAAAACTTTCTGGAACAGTTAAAACTAATTATTTCCCAAAAAGAAGCGACCCATTTATCTTGCTTCATGGAAATCATAAAGCAAAGTCTGAAAAATTACAACAATAAATGGAAGCTTTACCCCCCAAAATGTAGCCAGAAAAGTGTCAACTAATACAAGTTACATTAGTTGAACGATACAGAAGGACAAATGGCGCTCTTCCACAGAACCAACCACCGGAGCAGGGAGAAAACTGTTGGTTTCTTGAGGGATTTTGTTTTATTCATTCTTACACAGGGCACACGCAGCCCTGGTTCTGTCACCTGACAGAATGAAGAGTTGATGATGCCCAGGCAGTTTTGCAGAGCGTTCTGACAGAGCTCCTATGTCAACCATTTTCCTATTGTCCCTTCAATTTTCCCCTCTTTTTCATGCTCTCTAATGGACCAGCAGATTCTTCGCCGGTTCTTCTATGGTACACAGTCTCCATGATCTGCTGCGATCTGAAGGTGTTGAGTGACTGCTTTGACAAGAAGAACTCAGCCAAAGTGACTCCATGACACTTTACACAGCCACTTCCTGACTCTCACGACTTTCTCTCCTAGACACCCAAGCTGCCCCTCTATCCCAGGCAGCCAGGCTGTATATGGCACACACAGATGCTCCGGGCTTTAGCCTCAGCTAAGCCCCATCTTGCAGCAACCCTCACCAAGCTGCTAAACACTAAAGTAGGCCATCCTGCACCCTCCAGGCTAGCCCACTCACCAGCTGATAGCACCAAGTGACCTTGGCCATCACAACACAGAACAGCTCAGCTGAACCTCTTCCAAATGCAAAACCACACACAATTACATGATACAGTGAAACCGCTATGATTTTAAGACACTAAATGTTGGAATAACTTGCTACACAGCAACAGATAGTCAGAACATTCTCTTCAAATGAGGAGCAGTGGAAGCCAATGCCAGCCATGCTCATACCGCCAGCCTTTGTGTTGGTCACTGAAGATAATGCAGGCAGAAGCCTGGAAGAACCAACAGGCTCACCATGAAGAGTCAAGCTCACCATGGCAGATGCTTCTAGAGGAAAGAGATTCATTCAGGTAACAAGGTGTCTCCTCATCAGATTTGGGGCCCCTGGTGGGCACCACGAGAAGGTCGTACCTGCCTCATGAGCTCCTCCTGGCGCATCCGAATCCGCTCTCTTTCCATCTGGATCCTCTGGAGCTGCAGTTTCTGCTGCTGCTGCTGCTGAGTGGTGAGCGCACTGGGCATGCTCATGAGCCCGGTCGCCGGTGGGTTCTGAGCAGGGTGGCTCTGCTGGCTCAGGGTGCTAGGGGTCATGGGCTGCTGGTGCTGATGATTCATGACTACAGGAGGGAAGAAGAGACAGCACGTTATCCCCTGGAGCCCACAGGCCCCTAGCAGAAAGGGACCATCACAAGGTCTGTGCTTTGCAGTACGCATGCCTCAGATTCTTCCCAAAGATCTTTCCTGTCATTCGCTGCCGTTCAGATGCTTATTACCTTCATTCGCCTCACGGAGTATCAGAAACTGGTCTCCACTCCTGGTTCATCCAGTGCATTTTGGATTCCACTAAAAATTTTGCTTCACACCAGCCCTGCATGTGGGGTTCATTTTAAGCCATGCGTAGAACACAGTGGCAAAAAAGGCAAATTCAGCAAAGATTATCACACATTATATGGTCATTCCACCAAGTCATCGTTGTGTGTGTGTGTGTGTATTTACATGTGTGCAGCACAGCTAAGGAGAACACACAGTGAGCTGGACATGGAATCTACAGCCATTGCTAGAATCGACAGGTGACTGCTAAGCAACACATAAAGCACAGCATCTTGGTCAGAAACTTACAACTACGTCACTCTTATTAACCCTCGACCTGAAACGAGGGCCACGGTGAAAACTGAGCTAAACTTGCGAACACACATCTGATTGCAGGAAGAAAAAAAAAAAAAAAACTTCATTATGACAAAAGGAAAAATCAATGAGAAAGAATGCAGAAAAATGCTAAACATGTTTGTGTTCGGATAAACGTATTAGGGTGCTTTAAACTTTCCAAGAGTCCTCTGTTTATCTACACTTGTCAAAGCAAAATTTCAGCATGTACAATTTCACTTTAGAAAAAAAGTTATACCTCTTCAATTCCATTGTTGGGATTTCACAAATTTATTTTCATTTTTATGCATTTCTAAAAGTACTAGTTTCTACTGTAATTCTGACTGGACAATATCACGTATTAAGTGACATTTTTCCATCTATTTGCTCTTAAGTTGGAGCCAAAGATAATGAGGTATACTTTTGTGTCCTGACTTCATTTTTCAGGGGCTGATGGGAAGACAGAACATCAACTGTTGCTATATTTGGCATCAATACCAAATACAAAACGCTGGGGTTGGTAGTGTGGGTCAGTGGTTTAAGACTCCTCTTGCAATACCCATAAGCCATCATTTCTGATCCACTTCCCACCCAACTTCCTGCTAATGAGCCTGGAAAGCAACACTCAACGGCCCCAAGTGTTGAGTTCCAGTCATCCCTATGAGAGACCTCGGTGCTATCCAGGCTCCTGACTTCAGTATGGCAGGCACTTAGGCAGTCAGTCTCTCGATAGAAGCGCTCTCTCTCTCCGTCACTCTTATAAGCAAATTGATCTTGGAAATATGCTTTTTTAAAAATGACAAAAATAGGCATGTCTTAATACAACCTAAAAAGTAAATTATTTTATATCTTCGGTTTGCTATAAAGTGAAAACATTTTCTAAGTAAATTTTCTTAGATGAATTTCAGAGAAACTCAATCATTTATGGAGTAATTTCTCTCTTTCTCTGCCTCTCTCTATCTTTCACACACACACACACACACACACACACACACACACACACACACACACTGAGAGGTCTTCAAACATTGCATGGGAAAATGCACTTTGTGAAATAACTAGGTATAAATTTCTTTTTGTGCACCAAAATCTACTTATCCGTTAATTCTAATTTTTTGCACAAACCATGTGACATTCCCTTGTAAACTGGAAGTCACACAGCAACACTGAAGCGGGTCTATAGGGTCATGGCAGCACTTCCCCAAGATGCAAGTGGGGTTAGCCAAACAGAGTTGCCAAAGTATTTGTGAAATCACTCATTCCCAGCTTTACTCCATCCCCACGGTGCCAAGCCTTGAATTTGGTATCAGTGAAGTAGCTCCTGCTGTCATAGGAACTAGCAGGCTGGCCTGGCAGAAAGAGATATGTAAATAAATGAGATGAATTTTTAGCATGATGATGGAATACGATAATGCTGAGCTGTTAAAGGACCCTGGAGACTGGCCCTGTATCTTCTGCAAGAGGCACATCACCCCACAGGGATGGAGCATGTTTCTAGCTAAGTGGCAGGCAGAGGCAGGGTCAATGCCAAGGGCCCTGACATCCTGCTCAAGTGATTACAAGCAAGACCACGTAGAGCAGGGACCTGTGTCCCAGCATTGCTCAGGTTACCAACAGAAGGGTTCAAGGAGCAGGTGGGTGGATTTACAATAACGAGGCACCCACAGGGAAAATAAGACCATTTCGAGTACACTGCAGGGACACTCTGGATTTTTCTTTGTGAGTGAAGGCCAGCACTAAGGAGCCTCACCTCCTGGTACTGTGTTTGACATACAAGAAGAGCTCATGAAAAGACCCGAGGAACAGACAAAACCAGCTGGACACTGTGTGTGCTCTTATTGTGAGAGGAGAAAATGAAGCAGAGTGGTGACTGAAGCCAACAGAACTGAACTTTCACTTCCAGAGTGGATTAGAGCATCATTTCCAGCTCAACGGGAAGACCTGGCTACAAGGGGAAGGATCACACACAGGGATTTACAAGGAAAGTGTTCTCTCAAATGCTGATTCACAAACTGCACATTCATTCAGAAGACAGGCTTCATAAAGCCGCTTTCCAGCCAGAGAAGGCAAGCACACAGGCATGGAAACTCTACAAGGGATGGCTGTTTCTGATCCTGCTGGAAAGGCATGCTTGCTTTTCTGATGTAACTTCGATAGACAAAACGATATCTAATATTTTCAATATCAGACAAGCCTGGGGTAACAAAAAGAGGCCAGAAGAGCAAGGCTGTTAATACTTTGTGCATTCTGCACCAGGTGCTGGGTCTCACAGCTGGCTGACATGACAGATTCAACCAGGCCTGCCTTGGGTGTCTTTGGCAGACTGTTCTTGTTCCTGTACAAATCGGGTATCTGGTTATCAGATTCACTCTCCAGCCAGGTCCTCTGTTGCTCAACTCCAGGCAGTGATCAGACATGCTCTGCAGAGCTGACTAAGTCTGTATCTGGGGGAGTTCACTGGGAGAAAAGCTCTTTCAAAACCACACCCTCCCCAGCCCTTCCAAGACATTCACAGAGAGGCAGAAGCCGTGAGCTGTTGATTCCTTCCACTCAATTTAGCTTTGACCCTTCAGACTAAACATCCCTGGATATTAACTGTACAGTCTGGAAACGAGTGACACACAGACAATGGCTTGGCTTGCAAGATACAGTCAGACTAAGAGTGCAGTTTGCAATTAGAGGGTCACTGTAGTATCGTTTATAATAGCCAAGACTAAAAATGACCTTAATGCCCACCAAGGGAGGGTCATGGTTCGTCCATTCAGACAAAGTCTATGCAAGCATTCCAGAGAATGATGGAATTCCATTACTAGGCAATGACAGGGAACAACCTCCAAGTAACACTGTTCAGAAAGGAAGCTACTTCAAAAAGCAGCACTGAAGGTAGTAAGAGAACAAGTGAAGGGCATTTGGTGTGCTCTCCCAGGAAGGCTCTCCGGAAGGACATGCCTGAAACTGGAGACAGCAAGGACCAAAGCCCACACAAGAGGGAACCAGATCAAAGACCTGAGATTGTCCCACAAGCCAAGTGGCCTAACTCCATCCAGCAGCCCACGACTCAGCATGCCATTCAAATGGTTCCTTTCTAACTGCTCTTGAGCATGCCTGAGATCACAGCTCCTGGACTCCAATGGTGGCTAATGCTCTTTAAAGCACTATCTTTGGAACCATCATCATGGCGCAGCAAGTTAAGCCACTGCCGGAGATGCCAGCATCCCATTAAAGTATCAGTTCGAGACCTGGCAGCTCTACTTCTAACCCAGTTTCTTGCTACTGCACTTGGGACAGCAGCTGAAGATGGCCCATGTGCTTGGGCCCCTATCACTCATGCAAAGACCCAGATGGAGGTTCTGGTTCTTGGTCTCAGTCTGGTCCAATGCTGGTTATTGTGATCATCTGAGCAGTGAACCAGTGGACTTAAAGATCCTTTCTCTCCCTGTTGCTCTCTCTATCCCTCTCTGTAACTCTCATGCCTTTCAAATAAAATAAATCTTAAAAGACCAAAAAATAAAAAAAAAAAATACAGCTCTGCTAATAGTTGCTCAGAGACAAAGGGGTCACAGGAGGCCCATGGCAGGAAAAAAAGGCTTGGGAAGACCCAACGTTTCATTAGGCGACGAACAGAAACACTTCTTGGGATAATATTCCAGAACATTTCATGGAGAGAATAATAGTTCAGTTTAACACATACACACACACAGCAGAGTATTCCAAACGCAGTATATGAGGCCAAACCGGATTACGGGCAGACGGCCATGAACGGCCTCAAAAAGGCTAAAGACTGTGTCAGATCTAGACTTTTGCCAGTCCCCACAGAAAGGAATAACCCAAACAGAAGACGTCTCCATTGAAGCAGGAATGCATCAAAATTAAATCAGCGCATCTTTTTCCTTCCAAGAGAGTCTGGCTTTAAATTTAGATCCCCATTTATCTTTTTCTTCTTCACTGTTCTCAACTCTTACCCTGCCCTTACCACCACCCACCTCCCCGCCGCCTTTTTTTTCTTAACTGGCTGTCTTGTCTTCATAAATCCATGCTCTGTAGATGTGTGACCAGGAACATTTAACTGGTCTTACACAATCTAGAAGAAATCACCAAGAAAAACAAATGCAGAACATCTAAGATGTCAATAGCTTTCAGGTCCAACAACCCTGTCCTCTGAGAACAGCCAGTCAAGATGGGATGGGATTGAGGTGGGGGCCAAGCTTGCTGGATACGACCCGCTGGTTAACACTGCCCACAGCCATGCACACACCATTGTACCCTCTGCCTCATTCTAGCAAACACACTTAGTCTCTTCTACAAAGCCCTAAGAGTAAGCCAGGCTCCCCCATGAACCAATTCAATTCTAAGCCAGCTTTACCAGCTATCCAAGATGTGTAACCATCATAAAGGCATCTTTCCTCTTTTCATATTTTAACCAGCAAAAACCCAACCACTAGTCTTGGGAATAACCCGTGACGAGTCTTATGGA